AGGGGGACCAAACTGCCTGGACGTCGAACTTCCTCCTACCAAAATCTGAGGATTCGACGTTTGATGACTAATATATTCCAACACTGGTTGAGTATAAGGTCTTATCACTGTCAATCCAGCCCCAAGTACGAAAGGTGTCAGTACTGGCCTCACATGAAGCACCGTTTGTTCTCCAGTCGACAGTATCGGAGGGGGAACTCCCTCGTCTCTTATTCCCTCGATGAAACTGTCTCCTTGATGGTTGGGGTTATCTGGCTGGTTCGTATCCGTAGCCATGTTTCTAATGTTTCGTCTTGGTCGTGTCTCTTCGTTTGCAGCGGCAATTTTACCACTTCTTAGTAACATAAAAATGTACCTCTCACGAAAAAGGACCAGTACGAATGCAAAGTTTTTATAAGTTTAGTTTTATGAAACAGATTTTCTAGCACTATCCCACTGGGTGTGCCATTTTGTTTCCCTTGAAAATCGGAAAACAACCGCTGATCTTCCAAATCTAACTTTGGTGACTCACAGGATCGATCAGATTGATCCTAGGACATGTGCTAAAAGGTTTGTTTTTTTGTTTTAAAAGTCTATTCAAGTTCCACACTCGAACGGTATTTGGGTGAAAGTATTCTTAAGGAAACATCTATTCGACTACGGGACAACTTAAAGATAAAATAAAGCTTTCAATAAAATAGAAAAAAGTTTGTTGGGAGAGGTGAAGTTAGATTGAGGACGAAGAGAAAAGAATTGCATAGGAAGAAGAGAAGTAAAGTAAGGAGAAAAGGGGTAAAGACAATAAAAGACTTTGTAAAATTTAAAGTAAAACAAGTAAATTGCATTAAGTCAAAAGATGGTGTGTTTATATCACGTACATTCTCTACAATACTCGCTTTCTCTACACTCGGATACTTGGAGTAATTTCAAGAGTAATTTGTACAATAGTAAATTACAACACACTTTGGATATGTCTAAGACACCCTATTTATAGTAGTAAAAAATAACCTCTAATAACCTCCATCATCACCTCCTTTCTCCATTTGTCGCAAATGCATGGATCTACTACTCATAAGGTGACACGTGTCTCCCTCAATATTCAACAAGCAAAACCGTTCCCTCCAATTTTGAATTTCAAATCCTTCAACGAACCATCCCTAACAGCAAGCGGTCGAACTCCTGGCTTTTAGGTGAGTTCTTCAACTTCTTCTTTTGGCCGCTTTGCCTCTTTCGGCCACTCTCTCGTTCTCAACCTATCTTTGACCCTTTTATCTTGAATTCCTTCCTTCTACATGAGACGTCGAATTTAGGAGCTAACACTTACAAACCCCAGGCCCTGAAAGTTGTTGAGTAATTAATCTGCTTATGATTGTTTTTCTAAATACTTAATGTTGTCATCATAAAAAAAGGGGGGAGATTGTTGAAACAAGTTTGGTTCATACCATGCATCCTCCAAGATTTCGATGATAACAAAGTATTTGAAAATCAATTAGTATTTCTAACTAGCTAGGTTGTGTGTGCATAATTATATTTACTTGATGGAACTGGTTCTAACACTAAAACAACTTTAGTTCGGTTCTGATCATGCTCTCTCGAGGAAATATGATCAGAAAAGCAGCTGCTAATACACTCCAGTTTAGAAGCGTGTTATGCTGCCTCTAATGCTGAGTAATGTCAAGTCAGTTCTGCTAACACAAGACTCAAGATTTATTGACATTATCTTTTATAGGTTGTATTGTACTTGAATCATAGTTGTATCCTCTGGACAAAGGCATTGTTTCGTGGATATTCTTGTGACTGAAAGTTCCAACACTTGCTTTATTGGAAAAGAAGATGTACTAGAATATTTGGTTTATTTGTAGCCGTTGTAGATGCTCCAACGTCTCTATTTTCTTTAGCTATACAAAGTAGCTGAAGATTTGAAGGTTAACTAAGAAATAACGCTGCAAATACAAATGAGAAATACACGCACTACTATTAGAAAGCCGAGTCTGTTAAGAGTTCTTATTCTTGTGTTGATTAAGAATCTTTGTAAAAGTGTGTTGTATTATTTTAAACACCTCTGATATTTATCAAGTGTTGTTGTAAGTTATTCCTTTTCTAAACTATATGTTTAGATATAAGTCTCTTGTTGTAGGCTTGAGCAAGGTGAAGTCTTAGACACGAGCTCTAAGCAAAGAAAAGTCTTAGACACGAGTTTTAAGCAAAGGAAATTCTTAGACATGAGCTCTAAGCAAGGTAAAGTCTTAGGCAGGTGGTCTAAGCAAGATAAGTCTCGGTCAGGAGCTGATTGAGCAGAAGGAAGTCTTATACACAAGCTCTAAGCAAGGGAAGTCTTGGACAAGTGGTTTGAGCAAAACAAAAAGTCTTATACAAGTGTGTATAAGCAAGTGTAATCTGGTTGATTATAGTGGAAAATCTCTTGCTTGGTAAGGGGACTGGAGTACTCTCAGTTGGGAGAGGAACCAGAATAACTACTGTGTTATTTGTTATTTTTACTTTACTTATGGTTCTATTTCCGCTGCACCATATCAGATTCTGAACCCAGTTTTTAGAATCTAAACTCTGGTTCAGAAGTAAATCTAATTTTTGTAATACACAATTCAACGCCCCTTCATATGTATTTTTCTCACATTCAGCCTTGTCCCTGACAGGTAAAATGTAGTGGCTTATCCATTGTTGTTGCGAATAATCCTGATTTCTAGACGTCCTCATTAGCGTCCCTAGCTTTTTTATTTGAGTTGTTATCCTCGCCTTCAGTATATCATTCAACGTGCATCACTACCTCCGCCATGGAAGTGAGAGGTCTTTAGGAGAGGGTTTCGTTAAAATGTTTACCCTTAATTCATTCTGGAAGGTTCATACAAACATCTCCTAGTTCGGGTGGGTGGCCTTGATAGTTATCTCATTGAACTAGACGATATACTCCCTTAAGGATTCTAAAGGGCCTTGGCAGATATTGAACAGGTTGTGGTTGACATCACTTTGTATCATATCGTCGAGAATTGATGGACCAATTTCTTTACTAGGTCTTAATAGCTAATGAATGATAATTGTGGCAGGCATATGTACCACCATTTGTGCATTAATTGAGGCGAAATGTTCATAAGGGCCACTTCTTCCATCAAATTTTGTTAGTGAAAATGGTTTGAAACTTTCTAGTACAGGCCCCCCAAATCTCGTTAGAGAGAGATTGAGGATCTAAAATTTTGGTTTCCTCAATGAGATCTATTTCTTATTGGCGTTGCTGAAGGTTAAAGCTGTTCTCCTTCAAATTCTGGTTGGGACGACCCAAAATGTCCATAACAACGCACATATTTGCTATGGTCTCATGGTTGTCGTCGACTGAATTGTTGCTTGCCTGTTCACCATGTTAGAAATGATTAAGGAAGCGGGCTACAGGTCGATTGTCGATTATAAAGGTGGCCCAAGTCAATTTTACTAGGGCCCCACAGTGGGTGCCGATTGTACTTGCTAAAATGTACAATAAGGACAACCGTTTCTTGTGTAGGGTTGTTTGAGGGTTTGGAGTATTTAGTTGTGCTTAGGGATAACTCATGTAGGGTTATGAGAAACTTTGTATATGGCTTTTTGAGAGAAAGATTTGAGAGACTCCTCCCTATTTTGAAAATGAGATACATATAAAAGGCTTCATGGGCCTAGGCTGGACGACTAGTAGGGCAGTTCCCTATCTTTTCAATCGACAACATTAAAATGTGGGAGGACCCGACTCTTCCTTAGAAAGTGTAGGTGCGATTTCCCTCATATGAGTAATTCTTACAACCAACCAATGATTTAACACCTTATCTACCACATATGGTGAGAGAATGAGTCACATGAGACAAATAAAGCCCAATTAATCGACCTATCACCACATTATTGGCGGCCTCTTAATCCATTTTGAATGACCAATAATCTCATAGTTGAGGCAATTGGCTAATAACATAAACTCATTTTCATATCATTAAATAATTAGCGAAATTGACCATTTAACATAATTCAACAATAAATAACATAATAGATGATTTCACACGGATAAAAGTATAAATAAAAAAGTGAAAATAATATCTTTTATCAAGAAAATAAAAATAATATTAATTAAAAATAAAATTAAAAAAATACATTAAAAATTAAAAAAAATAACCCATATTAACACAATTTTACGAATCCTTCGTTATAGAATGAAGAAAGTATAATTGTTAATATTATTTAATTTTGCAGTATATTTTAACGTGTTTATCAATCTATTTTACTATTTAATTATATAAGAAAAAACCATACACCCGTTCAAAAAGTTATTTTTACTCAAACATCCTTTCAAAAAAGTGATAATAATCATAAAATAAAATACGTAACGCGGTCCGTGCCAAGTGTCAAGAGCTACTCAGTAGTACAACGCGTGGGGAAATCGCACTCGACATGGAATCGCAAAACAAAAAGACGATCCTACCCTTAGATTTCGTAATCAAAATTTTAATACTTTTGACAGTGTCCAAGAGACTAAGGATTATAAATACTCCTAATAATCATTTATTTATCCATAATTCATAATCACAAAAGCGGCATCGAGAATTTTGTGAACATATTAAATAATTATTTTTTATAATAAAAAATATCCCATAGACACGACACAACAGAAAAGAACAGAGCAGAGGAGAGAGAAAATCGAAAGCATCGATATTTTCTGTAACGGAACGTTTTTGAGTTCGTTGATAGCTGTGTAGAGGCGAAAACCGCCATTCATTTTCCAAAGAGACAGAGAGGTTACAACCTTGACGTCGTTGGTTTCTCCGTCTTAATTTTCATCTTCTTCTGTGGAAGTTATTTATAAACCTCTTTATAATATTAAGGCTTTTAGAGAAAGAAAGAACGCGCGTTTGCGTTTCTTTGCTTGGAATTTTCGATTGAAAAGCGCTTTGTGTAAACGGCGATTGAAGTAAGTTAAACGACATTTGGATCGGGGTTCGATCTGTTTTTTTGGGGATTTTTTGTCGTTTGGAGAGGGAAACCTAGCAGCGAAAATGTGGTGGATGATGGGGGAATCTGGAGGGAATTACTGTTCGAAAAAGAGTGATGATTTGTGTAGCAATGTTTGTGGCCAGGTATATCATCATCAATCTTTTATTGTTTATTATTATTTTTAATTTTTTTTTTTGCGATTTAATGATATTTTTCGGTATAATTTCAATAAATCTTTTAGTTTAATTAGGGTTTTGTGAAGATTCTGGAGAATTATAGAAAATTTTCAATTGATTTAGTGGATTATTGATGTAAATTTCGTCCAGATTTGCCTACTTTTCTCTGTTTTGTTTATTGTGTGTTGCTGTGGATATTTTGGGGTTGTGTGTGTATGCGATGTGCTTGATCTGAATTTGGGTACGGGAATAAGGTTGTTTTTTCGAGGTTTTAAAATTTGAGCAAATCTGCTGAACTTTTTTGTACAGTTTGTAAGTAAACGCATAAGAATACACCTTTTTGCCTTTTTTCTCTTTTTGTGTTGTTACTATTATTGGAGGTTCATTTTGGAGGGGAAGGGATGAAAGGTTTTCTCATGTCAACAAGTTTTGGTTTTATTTTTTTGGCATGTCTCTAATTGCTTTGTTATATGTTTAGAATTTCTGGTGTTTGTTATGCAATTCTTGAAATTTTTATCTTTGTGGGATTTAAGAAGTTGCGTTGTGTATTAATCTTCATATGATATATTTTTTTTTTTATGGTTTTGGAAGGTGGATTTTTATGGTTTGTTGATATTGTTTGTTCCTTGAACTTGCAGGAATCAAGTCAAGCTTCAAGTATGTCAAGAATCCGTTGCATTTTGCGCGGTTTGGATGTGAAAACATATATATTCCTGTTTGCTTTTGTTCCAATGTGCATCTTTGGATTATATATACATGGACAGAAGATCTCTTACTTTCTGCGGCCACTATGGGAAAAACCACCCAAGTCTTTCAATGTCATCCCTCATTACTATAATGACAATGTTACCATGGAGAATCTCTGTAGGCTTCATGGCTGGGGAGTTCGTGAGTACCCAAGGCGCGTCTATGATGCGGTGCTGTTTAGTAATGAGATAGAAATACTTACCCTGCGTTGGAAAGAACTGTATCCATACATAGCTGAATTTGTTCTCCTTGAGTCAAACTCTACATTTACTGGATTGCCTAAGCCTCTGGTGTTCAACAGCAATAGGGAGCAGTTCAAATTTGTTGAGCCCCGCTTAACTTATGGGACTATTGGTGGGAGATTTAAGAAAGGAGAAAACCCATTTGTTGAGGAGGCATATCAACGCGTGGCATTGGATCAGCTCCTTAAGATTGCTGGTATTACAGATGATGACTTATTGATTATGTCTGATGTGGACGAGATACCAAGTGCTCACACTATTAATCTCTTGAGATGGTGCGATGAAGTACCTTCAGTCTTGCATCTACAGCTGAAAAATTATCTTTATTCTTTTGAGTTTCTTCTGGATGATAAGAGCTGGAGGGCTTCGATTCACAGGTATCAATCTGGAAAGACAAGATATGCTCATTACCGCCAGTCCGACAACATGCTGGCAGATGCTGGGTGGCATTGCAGCTTTTGCTTCCGCCGAATCAGTGATTTCGTTTTTAAGATGAAAGCTTACAGCCACTATGATAGAGTTAGATTCTCTCACTACTTAAATCCCGGCAGAATTCAGAAAGTAATATGCGAAGGGGCTGATCTATTTGACATGTTACCCGAGGAGTATACCTTCAAGGAAATTATTGGTAAAATGGGTCCAATACCGCATTCATATTCTGCTGTTCACCTTCCTGCTTTCCTTCTGGAAAACGCAGAGAAGTACAAATTTCTCTTGCCTGGGAATTGCATGAGGGAGAGATGATATGAGAAAATCATTTAATGGTCTATGCTTATTGCTAAGGTTGTAGCTTGTGCATCCAGATGAAGTGGTTCTTGGGAGAGTTTAGCTGTGGTTGTGATAATTGTGTGTCTACTATCCAGTGAGATATTCTTTGGGAATTCATTGAATTCTTAAGACAAATTCTTTGATCATCTAGGGGGGGAATTCTGTATATAATTTAGAATTGAACTTCATTCAAGGGGGAGCGGTATCTATTCTAACCAGCGATTGAAAGTGCAGCTTGCCTTTGTGAACTTCTGTGTTTATTTGGTATCAGTATGGCTGATCCCCAGATATACAGTAGAGTAGATTAAAATGCCCCATCTTTTTTCCTGTTTGGAAAGTTTTGTTTTGCAGACACTATTATTCTTATTATTCTTTGTCTATGATAAATATGTCTAATTTGGTTGCTTGGTTCTTATTCATAACACTGACTCAGTTTTATTGTGCATTATATGAAGACAGTTTGGTTGCCATCAATTGGATACCTCTGACTCTGTTTTTGATGGCTTAGTTCATTCAGATTTTCCTTTTAAACTATTTTGATGTTTTAGTTATGATAAATTCTATGGTATAGAGAAACTCTTGCAAATCCTCTAGCTCTTCCGTCAAAGATTTTGCATATAACACTTAAATTTTTTTTAATTGATAATCGAAGTAGCACTAATTGATAAGAAAGTCGAAGTAGTGATAATGATCACTACAACCGTTCCGAAAGAATACAAAATTTTAAGTTATAAAGTTGGATGAGCTATTAACTCTGTTATTTAGAAACTTAATTTTAGATTTATATCACGCTTGGTTTGACAAAATCAGTTTAAGTTATGAAATTAGATGCAATACTGCTGGCTAACTGTAACTTTGTCAAACTTATTGTTAATCTAAACACATATTTAGAGGATTAGGCTTGCATCTTCCCAACAACTTCGAAGTTGCTGGATCTGTTATTACTCTAATAATTGAGAGATTAAGAATTCAATAAATAATATTGGTATATATTAAAAGATATATTTACATTAATGTCCTGTATTTGAATATATAATGATACAAGTCGAGGGAATATCCATATTAGTTATAAATTAAGAGTTAGTTATAACCAATTAAACTAAGCTTGCCAATTAGTTTTCCGTATGACGATGGATCTCATCTTGAATAAGTTAGGTTCCTTTTGGCATAAGTGTGGTGGCCGGTTTTGAGTCAAAAATCTAGAATGTATTTTCTTAGACAAAGGTGTAGTATTCCAAGCTTTGATCTTATTACTTCTAGTCCTAAGAAATACTTTATTTGTTTAAATCTTTGATCTTGAATGATGTGTTGAAAAAAGCCTTGATAGTGCTACTTTCATGTAAATTATTGTCTATCATCAAAACATCCATGACATATACCTGAATCGCACTAAATGAGTGGGCAATAAAATTTAATGAACAAAGAGTTACAAGAAACATATCTTTTTGACAATAAGGTGTAATGAATATTTTTAAAAACCATTGTCTATACTTTATTTTAAACCTTAGAGGGATTTTAATAGTTTACACACATGATTAGGGGTTTTTAGAATAAATTTCAGAGGGTAATATAGACTTTCTCATTTAGGGTGCCATATAAAGGAATGATACCTTTCCTGACAATCTCTTATTATGGTTACAAAATCAATCATGGTAATATATTTTCATTAGATTTTTTTTAAGAAAAAGAATTTATAATAACAATAACAATTAATAACCATTGTGATACATTTCAAAACTCAACACCGGTAATTTTTATCTTTTTTTAGTTAATAAAATAATGTGTTCTCTTTATTTTTAATTTTGAATATAAATTAAATATTTGTCACCACAATCCTTTCTAATAACCGTGCTGAAATATCAGAACATACCACCATGGTTGATTTTATCAACCATTGTAAAATAACTTATCTATTTAAGCTAAATTACTTCACTTCAAAACAAACTGTGATGTAAGTGAAAAACCCTAACTTCTCTCGCCTCTTCCGAATCTCTCAAAATTCTATTCTAACTTCACAAATCTCCTAAATAATTTATCAAACTATTATTAATCAATGGAAGGTGTCACAAAACTCCAACATATCTTCAACATATATTTGTTTTCGTTTTCCACATATTATTTTAAGTAAAGGTACGCATGTTAGCCGTTTTTGCAAGATGAGGTATATTTGATAAATGTGTTTTGTTAATGTTAAGGTTCGTGTATGATTTTGTAGATGAAAGTTGTTGTTTGTGTTGTTTGTTCATAAATGATTTTGTTTTGTTTATAAGCTTATGATTTGCTTTACATATTTTTTGTTCAAGTATTTTGAAGGTTTTGTTACGTATGTTAATAAATATTGTTGTTGAGGTGTGTTTGATAAATGTGTTGTGTTAATGTTAAGGTTAGTTTATAATTTTGTAGATCAATGATGTTGTTTGTTGTTAAATAATTTTGTTTTTTATTCCATAAACTTATGATTTGGTTTACATATTTTTTGTTGGAGTATGTTGATGATTTTCTTAGGTATATGTTAATAAATATTGTTGTTGAGGTATGTTCGACAAACTTGTTGTCTTAATGTTAAGGTTCATTTTTGATTTTGTAGATAAAAATTGTTGTTTGTTCATAAATTATTTTGTTTTGTTCATAAGCTTATGATTTGGCTTACATATTTTTTGTTGAAGTATGTTGATGATTTTGTTAGATATGTTGATAAATATTGTTGTTGAGGTATGTTTGATAAATGTGTTGTGTTAATGTTAATGGTAGTTTATGATTTTGTAGATAAATGGTGTTGTTTGTGTTGTTTGTTAATAAATGACTTTGTTTTGTTCATAAGCTTATGATTTGCTTCAAATATTTTTTGTTAGAGTATGTTGATGACTTAGTTAGGTATGATGTGTTTGTATAAGTATATTAATGTTTATGTTATTGTTTATGGTATTAATAATGTTATTACTTGGACATTGCTGTTAAAGTGTAATCCAAATTCAAATTCTGTTGCATTTAGAGTTAATTTGGTTTTGCATTTAGCTCGGGCTTGTGTATATAAGCTAAAGCTTAGTTCAGTTTGTAACAGAATTTTATAATTATTTTTTTTAGTTAGAAGTTAGTTACAAAGTTTTATCTCTTCCATCTTCTTCATCTTCAACTATGTGCTCTAACAATTGGTATTCTAGAGCTCCGATTCAGATTTAGAATGGGAAACACGAGTGTACGTGAGACGTGTGTGATTGATTCAGTTCATTCAATTCATAGTGAATTGAAGATCTAAATCAAAATCACATTTTTTGATTCTGGGGGATTGTGAAACATGAGTGTTGGTGGGTTTTTGAGTGAACTTGTACAAGATCAAAGATGAATAGAAGAAATGATAGCTTGAACACAAAGTTTCCAGTCTTTGATGGGAGTAATTGGAATCGATTGATGATTCAGATGTGTGTGTTGTTTGATGCTTAAGACGTTCTTGATCACATCAATGATGGTTACACGGCGGTTACAACAGAAATGTGCATAGAGAAACGAGGAAGAAGGTGTTGGAACAAAATTGTTCATATTCTTATGGTTTTAATGATAACAAAGTACTTAAAGAACAATTGGGTATACTAACATTTGTTCAACTATGCAGGATCATGAGCTTAAAATTTAACTCTGAATTGACCCTGATAAAAGCATAAAAAGAGAAGAAAAGTATCTCTGATTCTGAAAGATCAAAACTTGATAACTCTGAACGTGTTCATCAGCCTTTGAAGGAATAGAATCTGATAATGGTATTCCTACCTCTGGTGTCAGCTTAGACTCTGAAGGATAAAGGTGCTTCTGATCTGTACTTTGTCTCCTAGACAGACCTGTCTTGTCAAACTCTAGATTTATAGAGAAAGTCAACTATGATTTCTTTTTACAAGGCTCAAGGAATAGTGATGTGACCTCTTCAGTATGTTCTGCCTTTTGGTAGATACCTAGTACTTAGAAAGATGCTATAGACAATGCTATTATTCATTAGGAAATATTTCTAACTAGATATATCCTCCAACGTCTCTCTTAGCATGCTTCTTCGCAAAGAAATCTCTTAAGATCATCCATTCTAATGACTCTTTCCTTGCCTTTATAAAAGGAAGTTAAATATTTGAAAGAATGATACAACACCACATAAGAATAACTTCGAGCTATTGTTTATATATGTTATTGCATAAAACTTTAAGATTTCTTATCTTTGTATACCTTAGAAATCTTAAGAGTTAAGAACCATTTGTGGTTGTTGTACAACTGTTATACTTCTGATTGTGTATCAAAGTATAGTTGTTATCATTTTTACTAAACTATTTATTTAAAGTAGAAGAAGTCTCTTGCAAGGTTGCTTGAGTAGTGAAGTCTCTTACCTGTGTGCTTGAGCAGTGAAGTTTCTTTCTAGTATTATTGAGCATAAGTATCTTGTTAGGTTGCTTGAACGAAAGTTCTTTCTGGATTGATTGAGCAGTGAAGTCTCTTGCTAGGTTGCTTTAGCGAAAGTCTCTTTCTGGATTGATTGAGTAGTGAAGCCTCTTTCTGGTTTGATTGAGTAAAGTTATAATTAGTTTGATTATAGTGGAAATATCTTGTTGAGGCAAGGGGACTGAACTACTCTCAGCTTAGAAGATAACCAAGACAAACTTTGTGTGTTGATTTACTCTTACTTCTGAACTTTATTATTCTGCTGCTACTCTTATTTTGTGTTCAGACTCTGAACTTGTTCAGATTCTGAAGATGTGTGTTTCAGAAATGAAAAAGAAATATATATACACAATTCAACCCCCTTCTTGTGTATTTCTCACCTTCAGTTGGCATCAAAGCACAGTGTGTATTATACTATTAATAGTGATGCAGAAAAAATCTTGAGAAAAATACATTCTTCATCATGACTAATAGTCCTAAAGTGACTAGTCTTGATGGTGGTTTTGTTCGTGGTAATAATAACAATGATCAAAGTACATATGGTCAAAAAAATATATTGCTAG